AGTATTAAATTAGTCGGATAATTAGGAGTTGGGTAGTCGAAAATAAAACATTATTATGTCTTCAGCTTGAAAACGTAGATAATATTTTATCTTATAATTAATGTAGTCTTAGACTAAACAAACTTATAATAACAATATTTTCGTTAATAGGAACGATAATTCCGACAGTCAGTTAGATAAATTATTAAAGATATGATTTTATATAAGTACTGTGAATTGTGATTTTGTTTAGTGTAGTATAGGCGTTTAACCGTTCGACACAATTATACTAATTTGTCTTTAACTATTTATAAGTCCGTAAAATGAGTTTAAAAACTATAAATGATACAAGTAACACGAGTGACATTGATACTTTAATTCATACAGATGAAACTGATGAAAGTGACCCATGTTCATCTCAAAGTATACAACTTTCGGACCTTAATACTATTTAGTATTTCCCGAGATAAACCACGGTCTTCCGAATCAATTTCAATGGCTACTATTACTAATAGGTACTGTAATATACATATTACAGTTGACTATATTATGTATGCTACATTAGTATTTAGTGATATTACCACCTACGGTACAATAGTACCTATAAATTATAATCAATTTTTTTTTTATTTACCTAGTCTCGTTTATTAGTACATACTTCTCAAATCCGTAGTGAAAACTTTCGATTTCGGATTACACACTTTGTGTCGGGGTTCACTAAACAATAGATGCTGCTACAGGGTCATAACTAATTTATAATTTAATGTTTCAACAAAAATAAAATATTTTATATATCTGTGGCTCTACCATTATATACTATATAGTATTATATGACAGACACGATCGTAGGTAGGTACTTAAATTTTATTCCGTGCTAAATCGTGCCGACGAAGCGTCGGATTATTCGGATTGATAACTTGTTATCAAAAACTCGTTATCATATGTGACCATGTATGATAAATACATCTTATCATGTCATAGCCTCCAACACCCAAGGCTTGACCACAGAATAAAAATAAAAGCTTGACGTCCCGCACCACCAGCCTGCTCTTACGGTATATTATTGTCCATCTGAATTTTAAAATTATTCAAGGAACACCGAAAAACAAAACACACGGGTGGATCCAACGATGCCTCGATTTGCAAAGACCAACATTAATAAAATAATAAATGTCTGATATAAAATATGTGAACAGTGATATTCTATATTGTGTGTCGTGTACTTTGGTTGTTTGGGAAACGTCCGTTTACGGAATACAAGTTTTTACGATAAATTAGTTTTTATCGAGCTTCTATCACAATTTCCCTATTATCGATTGTGATTTGCCAACGCTGAATAATTAATGCTCAACACTCACTGTGGTCGCTCTATTGTTCGTCGTGTTTCATTGTCCCGCCGTCGTTGTTCTGTGGTACCGTGTCAGTTCCTATTCTTCTTTTCGCATTCATTTTTGTGTTCACATTTCGACTCGTCGTGCGTGTCCGCTCTTCCTTTCCGTTTGTGTATCGTAAGTAATTCGACTAATTTTGTGAATATATATTTCTCGTTTATGGATACCTACCTATTTTCTAAAAGAAAAACAAATTTGTTTGGTTTCGACATTAATTTTTCCATACGTCGTTTACCTGCTTATAACGATTTGATTTTTTTTTTTTTTTAGGATTTATTCGGAGTCGCGTTTTGATTTCTATAATTTTTATAAATATTTAATTTTCGATTATATAAATAACTGACAAAAATGGGTGACGCAGATAAAGGAGCCAAAGTAAGTGTTCTCAGATACCTACACCCATCATTTAAACTAAATTGATATTAAATATATATGTAATTTCAAGATATTCCAAACGAAATGCTCTCAATGCCACACGGTGGAGGCGGGAGGCAAACACAAAGTTGGACCCAACTTGCATGGTTTGTTCGGACGTAAAACCGGTGGAGCTGCTGGTTTTACTTATACTGATGCCAATAAACAAAAGGGTAAATATGCTTTTATTATAAAGGGTGTCGCGTGAGGATATATCCATTCAGTAGCGTATGCAGGATTTTAGTTCGGTTAGGGTTTCACCTGAGTAAATAATTTACATTATTTTTTTCTAAATAGTTTTTATGTAAATGGTTATAACAAATTATAATTAGTCTCAAATGTAGTCTACATTAAGAACACTCGAGTGTTCAATCTTGACACCTATGGTCATCTATAGAGCCTCTTCGGGTCGTAATATGTGGTAATTATCGATGGACGGTGATACATGATAATACACCATATTATGACGGTTATGACAGATGTTTAGCAATGTTCTAAATTAGCCAAAAAACTGAAACTATGATTATCGACGTCTGTGTCATATTTAACAAATTATATTATATCTATTAAAAATGACCAACAATTGATCGACTTTGTGTATTTAAATGGTTTTATTTTTTTGTCAACTGAAGAAATTTCAGGGGGGCTCAGAACCCTACCCCTGCTTACGCCACTGTATCAATTAGCCGTAGAGACTAGAGGGGGACTTGCCACCCTCACAAAAACAGTTGTTTGCTGTTTTACATCTAAACTAAAAATAATCATAAGATCAATGAAAATAAAATGTTAGAAAACTCTATAAAATAGCTATCTTCAATTGTTTCAGTAATATACAAATTACAAAATAAATTTGTTACTTTTTCTTTTTTTACCAAAAAACTAAAATATATTATGTAATCCTTTTTTCTATGAGTCTAATTAAAAAAATATATTTATGATATATTAATTTATTATCTCAGGGGATATCCCAATAGGTAAATCCTCGCGGATCACCCTGTACTATTTTATGTAACAGTTTTTATTTGGAAAAACTTGATTATATATTTTGTTGATTGAGTCATTTAAACTTTAAACTTTTATCATTTTTACAAATGTTTTTTTTTGAAATTTCTTAAATTGTACAATTAATACAATATAGGTATTTGTTTAAAGATCAAACTGATCAATGTACTTACATTTTATGAAATGCCATTTCTTCATTCTTTCTAAAGTTTTATGAAAAAATTATATGAACATCTGAACCATTTGAATATTTAAGTGCAGATATTAAAACTCATTTTAATGTTTTTGAAATGGCAATGATGAAATTATCTTTATTTAAACTTTTTACAACATTGGATAATTTATATATTTGTTTTTAATTTTTGATTATAGGTATCACATGGAATGAAACAACATTATTTGAGTACTTAGAGAACCCCAAGAAATATATACCTGGCACTAAAATGGTGTTTGCTGGTATTAAGAAAGTTGATGAAAGAAAAGACCTTATTGCTTATTTGAAAAAAGCTACCAAGTAATGACTGCCTATGGAAATACTATGACAACACTATAATAAATTTAGTTATGAGTAAAACCACTTTATTATTATTTTTTTTTTTATTATTCTCAGTTATTATACTGTATAATTTGTACACTTTTTAAACTAAATTATTTCTTGTTTAAATTTATTTGTTGTACAGTGTTATAGAGTCAAATATTAAATGCTTTATAAAATATATGTCAAAATTCAAGGTTTAAAGATTAGTGATTAAGCTTTACAACTAGAATTAAAAATACTGATAGATAGTCGTTGACGTAAAATTACTATTATTATTCATTGACAAATAGTATTAATAAAATGTAGTAATATTTCATAACGGTATTGTAAATAGTATTTAGCACTATGTGCTAAATGTGTCCACTATATATTTCAACATTATTTTATGAATCTAAGTCAAGTTATTGGCACTTTAATTTAAACATAAGATGTATTAAAAGTTATCGGTTTATATTATAAAATACAATTTGAAGTTTATACTGCCATATTAGTTGTATATAGAGCCTTACACGGGCACTGAGCGTACATCCACCACTAATAATCAATATTTATCAACTTAATGTGGTTGGTATAATACAAAATATCTACATTTTGTACTTTGGTTTTTGTAAATTTATAATCTTATTTCTATAATCATTGCACATAATAAAAATTGATACGAAAATACTATAGTAGTTAAATTACAATAACACATTGATGTCATCTAGTTTGGTCATCCCTATTAGTAATTAATATTATAAATTGTTTGACAGCGTAATAGTGAAATTGTATAATATATTATATACAATTTAACTGTGCTTTGATTTTGACACAAACTTTTAGAAACCTGTGAATTAGGGTCAATTAGTGACATGCGTTTAGGCAGAGCAAGTCAGACTTGCACGTCAATCCTCGTGAAGCGTAGATGGCTGTGGAACAGGAATCACAACTCTAGACGGATACGCAGCGAGTCGTAGCTGGCCCGTTGGTCTCTAGGCGTGCATCAAACGCCCGGTATAAAAAAAAAAATAAGACTTGGGGGGGGGCTAACTTCGGTACCTTGCGTAGCTCCCCCTCTCATATGTAGCTCAATCATCAAGATGCTATTAACATTTTATCATTGGGTTCTCTGTGGCTTATGATCAGAAGGCTGAACCCCAAAAAACATAACCCCCTGGCACAAACATGATAATGGACTTGGTTTCTTTACACGTATTACCAAAACTGACTACTGACACGGTTTAAGGGGTGGGCTTGTTTACCATTCCTATTTCACGTATGCCCTGGAGACAGTGTACAAGGATACAATCACCCGGTTCAGTCTCAAGGACGTAATTAAAAAAAAATGTCGAGGGTCCAACATTTTTTTTAACACGGATCCTGTTATCACAATAATCATTTTTACGTCCAAAACATTATAAAAACCCTTGTTCTCCTTGGTTCGGGAGAACGGGCCCCCTGGAACCCTCTCCCGCCTGTTAGGGCAATAAATTGCTTCACCTGTACAGCGACCACCTGTTCACCACGCCCCTCAGAATTAGTATACCTACCGTAATGATAAACCGACTACAAGACTACAACGTTGATAACGACCGAATGTTTGTGGTGCGGCGTCGTTCTGGGGGTTACGACGTGTCGTATTTTCTTTGTTGTTTTCATTTAATCCCGGTTAGGTAATTAGTTTCGAAAACCGTCAAATGGATAACGACCCGCGCAATGTTTTGATGCTGGGGCAGTATGCGCAAGCTCCTCCCCAACCAGCGCAAGTACAACAACCACCGGCTCATCAACCAAGTACGCGTTCTATACTATATATATATATAATAGACTGTAGACTTTTTTCACACATTAACAATTAGGTTCCTAGTAAACAATAATTAACAATAATATTATACTAAATCGTAATAAAACGTACTTTGGAAATTCTTGGACCACCCATTGGTCGACTTTTCGGAATTATATTTCGCACCCTTGAGATTTCAAAGTAACGCTCGGCGAAGGAGACGCGTATATGTCGTAATATATATTTTATAATATTATTATTATGATATAATTATATAATTATGTCTTATAATATTAATTTTCGACCATGGGCGTAAACGACTTCGGTGTTCGTCGCAGAGCTGTACCGAGCAGTTGTTTATCCTGTGGCAGACCTCGAGCAGTGTGCCGCCCTCTGCCTACATACTTTCAGTTTATTACATTTTTTAATAATATTCGGGAAAAAATCTGAAATATTGTCATTAAATTAGGTTTATAGAGCAAAACGAGTAATAACATTTTTAGCCACAAGTATATAATTTTCGACCCCTTGTATTATTATTATTATTATTATTATTATTATTATTTTAAATTTTATTTATAATGGCATTTCCCTTGCTTTTAGTCAAGGGATATTTGTCAATAATTCCTTCATAATTCAATTTACTGGAGATTTTAGTTTCTGTTGAAAGTATGGCACGGTTAATTAAGTCCCTTGCAAAGTTATTCGACCGCAGACCAACTGTAGCCAAAGTGTATGCAGCCCCTGTAACGTTTTGTCGTTGTCATTTTCATTTTTTTGTCGTACATTTACTAGAGCAAAACATATTTCTAAAGGAACGTTTTTTTATACATTTAACTGCCGTGCACTCAGGAGTAGTTGTATTTCTTCATCGTAGTACCTAGTTTTTTTTCTGAATTTTAGTCAGAATAATACAACAATCAAGTGTACCAACGTCAGCTGATGCCTGTTTGAGTATAGTACACAGCTTGATGTGCCATCGACAAGGATGGGAAAAAGAACCATTTGCCAAACGAGCCATTGAGTCACTGGTTAAAAAGTTAAAGGTAACTATTTAAGGGGCAATTAAAATTAAGTTTTGCTATTAGGTACTTGAGCTGCCTAATGTAAGTTGTACATTTTAGTAGATGAGATCTTGTCTAGATATACTATTATGATAATATTAAATTCAATATATTCTTATAATTGTGTAGCTTATAAATAATTAATGTTTAACTAATTACTTAGGAAAAAAGAGAAGAATTAGATAGTCTTATTATAGCTATAACCACTAATGGCTCACTTCCAAGTAAATGTGTTACAATACAAAGAACATTAGACGGACGTTTACAGGTGAGTGATTTTAATTTTTTAATATCTGAGAATTCGACGATTGAAGAATTAAGTTTACTTGTACATTTTATTGAATAGTTATTTGTTACTAGCAAAACCAAAATGTACTTGGTATTTGCAAGTTTTAATTATTATTTTAGAAGTTAAATATCTCAAAAATTAATTAATTACCTATTACATAAATAGTGACTTTTATTTATAATCTAAATTTTATTTTGTTATAGGTAGCTGGGCGTAAATTTTTTCCGCATGTAATATATGCAAGAATCTGGCGATGGCCAGATTTACATAAAAATGAACTCAAGCACTTAAAGCATTGTCAATATGCTTTTGACAAAAGATGTGATTCTGTGTGTGTTAATCCATATCATTATGAACGGATTATGTCGCCAATGATAGGTAATATTAATTATTTACTTATATTATTATGATTATTTATTAAGTCTAGTAACTATTTAGATTTAAGTGATCTAACGCTACAATGTGGTACATCTACCAATGGTTCTGGCCTAAGAGATGAGTATACAGCTGGTGAGGAAGGAATGTCTCGCTCGCCACCTGATTTTAGCAGTTCCAATATGGACAGTGATGCATCTGGTAACAGCCCAGCTGCAATTGTGCAACATCACCTACCACCTTTATATCGCCAACAAAACCTAGCCACTGATGTTTCTCAACAATCAGCTGTCCCTCAAGCTTCTGGTAAGAATTAACTGTAGAAATATATTTAAATTCATAAAATATTAATTGCATGATAATGATGAGTAATTGATGGGTTAATATTTTTTATATTACAAATATTTCAAATATTTAGATATTGAGATTAATAATTTTATATTTTAGAATTTTACTATAGTTTTGCATGTGTACTCATTAGTTATCAGCATAATTATTTGTAGGAGATATTGTTGTTGGTTTGTTTGGGCCTACACTACAGCAGCAACAACGTCCTAATCATCAAATTGGTTTAAATTCTCTAGTACAGACTAAGAGTGAATCATGTAAGAATTGGATTCAAGGTACACCATCACATATACCCCCCAATGGTAAGTTCCTTTACTAATAGTAAGGTAACTTGGGTACTGATATACCCTAATACAATACAAAAATAATTAATATTAATTAAAACTAATTTATGAAAGATACCTAATTATTTATTTATTATTATCATTTGTATTAAGGACCAATTTTGGCCATATTTTAAAATTGTTGTCTATTTATCATTTACATTTCTCTTGAGTTTACTACCTATCAAATATCCTTTTTTGTTATAGAACCACCAAACATGCCATTACAAAATCCCAGTATGTTCCCAGGACAAGAGGAAGATATTTTATGTAATTATATTGTTCTTTAATACAATTACTTCCAATAAACTAAGTAATGTTTTTATTTAACTTACAGTACCTAGTCAAACAACAATGACACCTCATAATTATCAAGGACCTACCGCCTCGATGCCTGGTACAATAGCAGGTAATCGACCAGTACAAATTACACTTATACACATTTAGTGCAACCACCACATCCAACATTTACATTTTGTTTTTGAGTTATATTATATTTAAATATCTCTTGAATGTAATTATATTGTTCATCTAGGGGGAGCGGCTGAAATGGGATTGAGTGGTTTATTAACATCTCAGCCAACTCCTGAATATTGGTGTTCAATTGCTTACTTTGAATTAGATACTCAAGTTGGAGAAACATTTAAGGTTTCATCTAATATCCCTCATGTCATTGTTGATGGTTATGTTGATCCCTCTCGTATTAGTCGATTTTGTCTGGGAGCCCTTAGTAATGTTCAAAGGACAGAACAAAGTGAAAAAGCTAGGTAAAAATAAGTAATAATATTAGTTATTAGTGTAAGCTAATGATTTATAACATTAATAAATAACTATCTTTACAGATTGCATATTGGGAAAGGTGTCCAACTAGATCTAATTGGAGAAGGAGATGTTTGGTTAAAATGTCAGAGTGGTAATTCAGTTTTTGTGCAGTCATATTATTTAGATACAGAAGCTGGACGAGCGCCTGGAGATGCAGTTCATAAAGTTTATCCCCAAGCATACATTAAAGTATGTACGAAGTATATTTTGAGAACTGAAATTTAATATAATAAATTATTTTTTTGTATTTATTGATATGATACATGTTTTATATTATTTAGGTTTTTGATCTTGGACACTGTTATAGACAAATGTGTGAACAAGCCGAAACAGCCCAAGCAGCAGCTATCACTCAAGCAGCAGCTGTTGCAGGACACATAGCAGGACCTCATAATGTGGGAGGTATTGCTCCAGCTATAAGTATGCTATTCACTGAATGTATTACAGCCTATCATACAATTTATAATTATATATTTTTACTTTCGTTAAAGGCTTGAGTGCTGCAGCAGGTATTGGAGTAGACGATTTAAGAAGATGGTGCATATTAAGATTAAGTTTTGTAAAAGGTTGGGGTTCCGACTATCTACGGACTAGCATTAAAGAGACACCATGCTGGATAGAAGTATGTAGCTCTAAAATGATTTTATTAAATTCTATGTTTCAAAATAATAATATAACAAACAACTTTAATTGGTAATTACAATTATTATAAGGTTCATTTACATCGAGCTTTACAACTTTTGGATGAAGTGTTACACTCAATGCAAATAGATGGTCCATCAAGAGCTTGACTTAACCAGAAACTCGAAATATTCAAATATAGTTACTAATAAGTTATGTTTAAGAAAAAATGGTTATTTGTTTTTAGTATAACAACATTAATTTTTTATGTTTTGGTGTATATCAAACATGAAATGTTTTTGTACTAAATGCCTTAGTAAAAATTGTTTAGTTCTTCCTGTATACATTTATTTTTTTATTTTTTGAACACAATAGCTGCTTATAATCAAACAATGCTTAAATATTTTTAAATTTCATATATATTTATAGTTACAATATACATCTATTTTAAGTGTAAAGGAACAGGCTCCATTATTATGAGTTATGACTATATTATATTTTTTTAACTATTATTTTATTTTGAGATATTGTTTTTTTTTTTTTTTTTTTAATTTATATCATTTTACTAAAAATAATAATTGCTTTGAGAAATTAAAATCGCTTTATAACTATTTTAAAGGTATTGTGTACTTTTATTTAAATACTCAATCCTATGTTGCTTGTTACACTAATAGAAACCAGCATTTTTTTCAAATTACACATTTTGATGACATGGAAAGTTTAACAAATTATTGCAAACCAACGGTCGCTCTTAAAATTTTAAGGATAGATGGTTCTTACAAACTCCGGTTAAAATGAACAATAATTATTTTATACGGTCAGATTGCAAACCAATAGACTTCTGTCAGTAACAATTCCGTTTAACCACAATCTTCCGGTTATGCTGTTTTTTCAATACAAATATGGTGATACGGCAGTAATAATAATTAATAACACATCTGATATTATAAAATACATGTGATTAAATTATTGTGTTATGTGTTATGCCCTAAGCACAATATGTGCTGAAGTGCCGATCAGTTGTAGTCGGTAGCATAGTATATTAGTTAATAGTTGTTATATTCCTTGTTCCTTGTTCTGTGGTCAGTATATAGTACAGTACTAACGGTAATGACTAGAGTGAAATTTTATTGTTCTATTGTGTTGTATAAATTTAATTTAATTAACTGTTTTTGGTGCTCATTATAATATACAATAAGTTCATAATGCGTTACTAATAATTGCTAAGGATAGCGATTTGTCCGATTTTGAAGGAGAAATACCGAAATTTAATTTGGGTTTGAAGACTAAATAATTTCAAGCACGCATTGATTATTTTCACTTGTTGAGTGAAGATGAGTTTGTTAGACTATTTTGTTTAAAACAATTCAACCATTGATAAAGTTTTAAACAAAATAGTGAATCTTATGAAAATCCCACACAGGTACTTTGATCAGCCTAATTACTTCTGTCATCAATATAATAGCTATAATTTAATTTTAACTGTGTTCCATTAAGAGGCATGCCACTTAAATACATGTTAGCAGACAGATTTAATAAATGCAACGTTTTTGGAAAATGTAACTCCACCTTCCGTAACACTAATTGTAAAATAATTGTTACTTTAATAGCAATATAAAAAAACATTCCAAGAAATACAGAGTGATTGTATAAGCATGGTAACCCAGATATTTTCTTTTAATAATGTATTTATTCAAACTTTGATTTTTAGAAATTCTGATATTTTTTGCACTATTTAATGAGTGGCGATTCAAATTATGAATATAAATTATGATTTGTTTTGATGATATTGTTAGATATAGGTAATTTTTTTTTTTTATGTCGCCCAGTGATAATTTCTTAATATGAGCCACCTTATATAGTTTTATGCATACCGTATCATACCTACCTATACGCCAAGTAAATTTATATTTTTACTGACAAATTATCATTGCACATTACACAATACATATCGTCAATAACCAAATGCGTAGGTAGGTACTGCAGTGGCGTCTAACCTTATAACTAGGTGTAGGTACATCTTGAAAACAAGGGGCGGGTGGGTATAATGGCATAAAATAATCAACTCGAAATATGTCCATTATTAATCACAGATTATATTGGTTGGTGCCTTAATATTTACTAATATTATCAATTAAAATATGACAAAATGTATGAAATAATATTGTTTCGAGTTTATTGAGAGGGAGGATGGGTGGGTAAAATTATTTCTCGCTACACCTGAAACGTATAATATTATCTTGGGCGCGCCACTGTAGGCACTACAAGTAAACCAGACAAATTGTAAAAAGTGAAATCCCAATAACCACGGCTATCGTTGACACGACATTCTGTGGCTTTTACAATATAGCACAATTAGATTGCCCATATACCTACCTTTTAATCGCAGACTTCTATAATAACAGTAGTCTGTGCTTTTAAAACAAACAAACCGTCTTTCTTGTAGGGAGCCACCCGGTTAGCAGTGGCGAGGTCCAGATAACACCGGTCGGTTTTCGTTCTCCCGACTACACAGATTTTTATACAGTACTCTACCTCCATGGGTACTGCAGTGGCGTCTAACCTTATAACTAAGTGTAGGTACACCTTGAAAACAAGGGGCGGGTGGGTATAATGGCATAAAATAATCAACTCGAATTAATATGTCCATTATCAATCACTGCAGATTATATTGGTTGGTGCCTTAATATTTACTAATATTATCAATTAAAATATGAAAACATGTATAAAACAATATTGTTTCGAGTTTATTGAGGGGGTGGATGGGTGGGTAAAATTATTTCTCGCTACACCTGAAACGTATAATATTATCTTGGGCGCGCCACTGTAGGCACTACAAGTAAACAGTCAAATTATAAGCTCCAGTACTCCAGTATCCTAACTATACAATACTAACTATTAGGAACAACTTATATTATGTACCTATAGCCACCTAGATAGGTATCTTATCTGTATAGCTCACATTACGAGTAAATTGATTTCGTGTCATTGACATTTTCAGTGTCATACGCCCGTATATTTTACACACAGATATATCTATAATACTATAATATTAAATATTATATTTATTACTATTAAATATTATACAATATTAATTTACTCAGTTACCTACATAAATACATAAAATATTTATATGATTTTTTTTATTTCTTACAAAATTTGCCGGCCTAGGCGTTGTAATGGGATTACGTAATATCATGTATTTGCTCATAAAAACAACCAGGAATGCGACCACACCCAAAAGTGTTTACGACTAGAATAGGTACCACTTTTAGTCGTGAGGTCTGAATCATATCAAGGGACAAGGACGACTGTACACGCGCTACCCGCTTTCAAAGGACGCCGCCACCATATATATAGGGGACAGCGAGACAGCCTGAGTAGATGTATCCAGGAGACGTGAACAACACACGACTCGCTTAGCCACAGTGCCGTAAAAACCGTGTGTGGAAAGTGTGCACCGCACACAGGCCTCGGGCCTCATAATATATCGAAGGGCCTCAAAAGATCTAAAGACTAATATTAAACTAATATAAAATTATTAAAATATATAAATTATTTATTAGGTATTGATTTGGAAACGAAACCAATGTTATTCCATTTTTTTTATATAGCATGGAGTAGTGATCACTGTTTTTAGAACAGTTTTTTAACGAACAAATGTATTGATTTTACAAGATGTGTATAATTTTTTTCATTTCTGTCGGTCATCAACATTGGGTATTAAAAATATTCCGAATATCGAGATCAGCATTTTTTCTGTTAGAAAAGTGAATCTAGTTGGTACGTTTTGGAGATCGAAACCGAAATTTTTAGTTTTAAATATTAAAAAGCGTCAATAAAAAAAAAAAATTGTCATTTTTACCTAAAACTAAAAATTTTATTTTTTGGTATAACTCGAAAACTAATAACCGTAGACCATTGAAGTTTTCACCAAATATTTATATTAATATTTTCAATAAATTACATTTTAGAAAATTTTTACTTTTTTGAGTTAGTTATAGCCTTGAGAAATTGTTTTAAAATTATAGATTATTTTAAATTAAAAATTTTTTTTTGTTTAAGCCCGAATTTTTGTCTGCTGACTTTAAAAATTGCAAAAAAAGTTTTTGAGGTGTGTATTGAAAAATATAATAAGGGGCCTCAATATTTTGGTTTTGCACACAGGCCTCAAGTAGCCTAATTACGGCACTGCTTAGCCACCAGCCATCACACATAATTACACGGAGATTATCAATTCTAGAACGAGCTACAATTCACTCAACTACACAATCAACAAGACTGTTCTGCTTATTTTGTCTGGTTTAATAAAATACATTTGATTACTATACTAATTTGACTATTGTTATTTATAAAAGTACATCAGCTTTTGGATCCCTGAAGGGCCGTACGTAATAGCGTGAATACGGCCCTGCTATTACATGTCAATATATTTTGTAGTGAATAGCGATAATATTAAAAATAGTTCGATTAGTAGGTAGTTATAGCACTATAGGTATAAGGTATTACGAAAACAACATCCATAAACAGCGGTCTCTCTACGGTTTTAGATATATTTCGACAATATCGTAAAAGTAATAATTAAAATATTTATTCTACCAAATGTTTTATTTTTATTACATTGTAAACGAAATTGTCGATTTTTTTTTTTTGCCGCCCTTAAATATTTGGCCGCCCCTGCCGCCTGGAGCAACTGCCCCTGCTTGTTATGCCCAGAGGTGTGAGTTTAAAATATATATTATTTCAATAACAATTCGGGGGTGGGTGGGTATAGATCAAATGGACATTTTTTGGTGTCCCGTTCATCATAAAATAGTTCTCGCCGCCACTGAACTAACATACCACCTACTTACCTGGTTTTTACCGTGTAGTACTTACATAGTATATTATGTACCTTTTTGACCAGAGGCGGAACTAAGAATTTTCACGCCCGGGGAAAATATTAAAATTAAGCCCAATCATAGACCAAGATTGAAAATCATTCCCTACAATTGTTTTATAATAACTGGAACTAAAATTACAAACATACTTATTGACTTTTAAACACATAATAAACCTATATAATAATTAATATATTCTGTGGACTGTGGTGTGTAACCAAGTTTGTACTAATAAACTATCACACCAAAAATACTTTAAATTTAAAAACTTAGTTAACATATTGTTGATA